CTTTTTTTGTTTTTATTTTTTAAGATGGAGTCTCGCTCTGTTGCCCAGGCTGGAGTACAATAGTGCGATCTTGGCTCACTGCAGCCAACCTCTGCCTCTCGGGTTCAAGCAATTCTTCTGCCTCGGCCTTCTGAGTAGTTGGGATTACAGGCACACGCCACCACACCCGGCTAATTTTTGTATCTTTAGTAGGTATGGGTTTCACTATGTTGGCCATACTGGTCTCAAACTCCTGACCTCGCGATCCACCCACCTTGGCCTCCCAAAATGCTGGAATTACAGGTGTGAGCCACTGCGCCCAGCCCCTAATTTGCTCTTTCTACAGCTTCCACTTCTCTATTGAGATTCCTTGGACTTTCCCTCATTATGTTCATGATTTTCTATAAATTCTTGAATATATTTGCATGCTGACTTAAGTTCATGTCCCAATTTACCATGTGTCTGTTTCTACTGACTGATTTTTCTCCTACTTATGTGTCATGTTTTCATGCTTCTTTGCATGTCTGGTAATCTTTTAGTGAGCACTAGACATCATGATACTACACTGCCGAATGACTAGCTTTTGTCCTTTTCCTCAGTAGAGTCTGAAATTTATTTAGGCAGGCAGTTAACATGCATGCATATCAGCACAATCTCTTCATTTCTTGATTTCTTTCTCTTTCTTTCTTTTTTCTTTTAAAGATGGGGTTTTGAGCCGGGCGCGGTGGCTCATGCCTATAATCCCAGCACTTTGGGAGGCTGAGGCGGGTGGATCACGAGGTCAAGAGATCGAGACCATCCTGGTCAACAAGGTGAAACCCCGTCTCTACTAAAAATACAAAAATTAGCTGGGCATGGTGGCACACGCCTATAGTCCCAGCTACTTGGGAGGCTGAGACAGGAGAATTGCTTGAACCCAGGAGGCGGAGGTTGCGGTGAGCCGAGATCACGCCATTGCACTCCAATCTGGGTAACAACAGCGAAACTCCGTCTCAAAAAAAAACATGGGGTTTCACCATATTGGTCAGGCTGGTGTCAAACTCCTGACCTCAGGTGATCCGCCCACCTTAGCCTCCCAAAGTGCTGGGATTACAGGCGTGAGCCACCACGCCCGGCTCAGTACAATCTCTTCAAACCTTCTATTTAACCTTTGCTAAGACAGGTCTAGAGTACTCATTTTTGGTAGAGATGGGGTCTCCCTATGTTGCTTAGGCTAGTCTCAAACTCCTGGGCTCAAGCAGTCCTCCCACCGTAGCCTCTGAAAGTGCTGGACTGTAGGTGTGAGCCCCATGCCCAGACTAGCGTATTCTTTACTGAAGGGTTCCTTTAGCCCTACTCCTGATAAACAGCATTCCTAAAGCCTCTGCTGAAGACCCAGTGTTTTCAAAGACACCTCTGCATTCCAGCTAGTCAGAATGGAAGGTCTTCCCCACCCTCGGCAGCTCCGGTGACGGTTACCCTTCCCCCACCTTGAGAGCTCTGGCTCTACTAAAAATACAATTAGCCAGGAGTGGTGGCAGGAGCCTGCAATCCCAGCTACTCAGGAGGCTGAGGCCTGATAATTGCTTCAACCCAGGAGCGGGAGGCTGCAGTGAGCCAAGATCAAGATCACGCCACTGCATTCCAGCCTGGGGGACAGGGCAAGACTCTGTCTCCCCCCCAAAAAAAAGTTTCATTATAAACAACACTGTAACACATCTGTGTAATAAATCCTTGCACTGAGTGAGCAAACTCGTACCTTACGGTAAATTCCTAAAGGGAAACTGCTAGGTCATTTAAGGTTTTACCAAACTGCCCTCCAAATGATCTGTCAACTGACATTTAGAGACCCCCATACTGGCCAGGTGAAGTGGCTCACACTTGTAATCCCAGCAGTTTGGGAGGCCAAGGTGGAAGTATCTCCTAAGCCCAGGAGTTCAAGACCAATATGGGCAACATAAGGAGATCTTGTCTCTAAATAAAAAAATAAATTTTTGCTTCCTTTTTGATCCGCCATCTGCACCTCAGGTAGGGCCGCCACCAAAATGCAGATTTTCATGAAAACCCTTACGGGGAAGACCATCACCCTCGAGGAACCCTCGGATACAACAGAAAATATAAAGGCCAAGATTCATGATAAGGAAGGAATTCCTCCCAATCAGCAAAGACTGATCTTTGCTGGCAAGCAACTGGAAGATGGACGTACTTTGTCTGACTACAACGTTCAGAAGGAGACTACTCTTGTCTTGTGTTGAGAGGTGGTGCTAGGAAAGGAAAAAGGAGTCTTACGCCACCCCACGAAGAATAAGCGCAAGAGAAAGAAGTTTAGGCTGGCTGTCCTGAAATATCGTAAGGGGGATGAGAGTGGCAGAATTAGTCACCTTTGTAGAGAATGCCCTTCTGATGAACGTGGTGCAAGCCACTTTGACAGACATTATTGTGGCAAATGTTGTCTTACCGCTTCAACAAACCAGAAGACAAGTAACAGTTAATAAAAGACATGAACTAACAAAAAATAAATAATTTTTTTTTTTAAAAAAGAGACACACCGTGTCTCTCACCAAAGTATTCACATTTAGAACCATTCAGTTCTAAGTGTCTGTTTAATGTCTCTCACACTTGTTTCTTACGAGCTAATTTCACAGCAGAACACCAATTAAACATTTCCATTGTATTATTTCCAAATGTGAGTTATAAAGGCAAAAAAATATAGAATGCTTAAAATGGGACTGACGTGTACCATGGGATAAAACTCCTTGACATGGCTGAGAACACAAGCACGGTGAGCAGTCACTCATCCACGCAGGCTGTCAGTGTTACTGACACTCCAAACTCACTCCAGGAAGTCCACAAGGGTTAATGTGGTTTCTGACCTTAGGGACTCTTATTCCATCAACTTACAAGCCACACTTTTTCCAAATTCCCACCAACACAAACATAAATGCCAAGAAGATTAAATATTTAAATGAAAAACAAAAGCACTAAAAGAACAAGCTGGCCACAGTATGGTATACCATAGTCCCAGCTACTCAGGAGGCCGCAGCAGGCGGGTCACTTGAGCCCAGGTGTTCAAGACCAGCAACCTGCCTAGGCAACACAGAGAGACCCTGTCTGTAACAAAAAAAAAACAAGACAAGACTCTGCATAAAGTCACATCAGGAAAGATCTATGTGAAGACATCACAGAGAGACCGACATGTAACAGTTAGAAAAGCGGCTCCAGTATCTTTCGGCAGAAATTAAGGAAGTGAAAGAACAAATGCAAACTGAGAAAATACGTTAAAGAGAATCGGTAGTGAGCTTTCACGAACATAAAGACTTTTTAAACTCTCTATAAAAAAGCAAAGGATATAAAAGGGTTGTCACAAAGAGACTATAAAAGGCCAACAAATCAACAAATACATAGCTACCTGCTGAATTTCACTAACAAAGTGTAAAATAAAATAATGTGATACAATTTTTGACAAATTATATTGACAAAATTAAAACGACTTATGGGGGGGCCAGGCTCCATGGCTCACGCCTGTAATCCCAACACTTTGGGAGGTAAAAGCAGGCGGATCGCAAGGTCAGGAGACCTTCCTGGTCAACATGGTGAAACCCTGTCTTTACTAAAAGTACAAAAATTAGCCGGGCGTGGTGGCGCACAGCTGTAATCCCAACTACTCAGGAGACTGATGCAGGAGAATCACTGGAACCCGGGTGGTGGAGGTTGCAGTGAGCCAAGATCGCATTTCTGCACTCCAGCCTGGCAACAGAGCAAGACTCCATCTCAAAAAAAAAAAAAAAAGGACTTACGGAGCTGAGCACAGTGGCTCGCCTATAATGCCAACACTTTGAGAAGCCAGGTGAGAGGAATCTTTGAGCCCAGGAGTTCAAGGCTGCAGTGAGCTAGCACTGTGCCAGCACTCCAGCCTGGGCAACAGCAAGACTCCATCTCAGGAAAAAAAAAAAAAAAAAAAAGTTTTCAGTAACTGCTGTGATTCTAGCCAATTACTGAAACTTGAGGGTGGTCTTGGGGACCCTGAAGTTGGAATTGATGTCAGAAAGGCAGTCAGCCAAGCATGGTGACTCAGAACTGTAGTCCAGCACTTTGTGAGGCTGAGGTGGACAGATGTTTGAGCCCCGGAATTCTAGACCAGCCTGGGCAACAAGGCGAAACCTCAAATCTACAAAAAAAAAAAAAAAAAATTAGCTGGGCATGGTGACATGCACCTGTAGTCCCAGCTACTCAGGAGGTTGAGGTGGGAGGACTGCAGAGCCCGCACAGGCCAAGTTACACACCAAGGCCAGGACTTAAGACAAAGCCTCACAGGACCGCATGGGCAAACCATTTACTCTGTGCCAGAAACACGCAGCCTGAGATACAGCGAGGAGCAAGACAGGAGGCCTTGGGTTAGGCAGGGTTGTTGTGAGGATTGACCGAGAGTGCTCAACCCTAGAACCAAGAGAAGGCCCTTCAAGTTCGGAGAAGACCCACTGCACTGCTGCGCCCCACCCCTACCCCTACCCCATGGCCTCACCCCCACGGTGGCCCCAGTCCCCAGTTAACCCAGCCCACGCCATCACCTCTCCCCCATGTCCTTGGCCACGCACTTTAGTGTCAAGGCCCCACCCTCGCTCCGCTGGCCAGAACCCCCGTTTAACCCCGCCTACGTCGTGGCCCCGCCCCACGGACGTTGACCACGCCCCTCGCATCATGGCCGCACCCCCTTCACAGCCCGGGCCCCGCTTACCCCCGTCATTCGGTCGCCCGGCTCCGACGGTATGGCCCCGCCCCATGACGGTAGTATGATCCCGCCCACCTCACTGGGGTTCGAACCCAATGTAACTCTGCGTCCAGCTATCTCGACCTCACGCCACCGCCCACCCCCATCGCCCCGGCCCGACGCACGGCCCCGCCCTCCCCACTGCAGCCGGGACCCACGTCACCCGATCCACCCCTGGTATCACGACCCCCGTTCCCCGACCAGACTGGACGCTCGCCACGCCCCGCGACGTCACGGCCCACCCCGCCCCCACCCCGGCCGCCGCGATCCTCACCAGCTCGAACCGGTTGTTGACTCGGACGCCCTCCTTCCCTGCCTCCCCGGGGCGCCGGCCACCCAGCTCCCGCTTGAGCCCTTCTTCTTCCGCGTCATCGTCATCACGGAGGTCGAACTGCAGGGCGCCGGGCCCGAGGGGCTCCTGGCCGCGCTGTTCCCCCCTCAGCCTCCTGAGGGCCCGGCGCGACATAGGACCCAACGACCACGACGTCTGGAGAGAGAGAGAAGGAAGCGCAGAAAACTCAGCGGACCGCGCGCCTGCGCGCTCCTGGCGTCGGGGGGCGCTGGCTGCGGCGCCTGCGCACTCCTGGCGCGAGCGGCGGGGGCGGGGCCTGTCGTACGGCGCCTGCGCGTTGCGGCTCTCCGGAAGTTCCCCGCCTCAGCCGTGGCGTGTGGGCGGTCTCTGGCGGGTCCGGGTCAGGTTTTGGGAGCGCTAGGCACCTGTGCCCCGCGGGGATGACGGGGTTTGATGCCGGGGAAGGGGCGCGCAGCGGGCGACACTCGGTCCTGGCAGGCCTTGCCCATCCGTGTGGCCCGGACCCCGCAGCCGCGCTCTGCCCGCCGGGTACCGCCGCCAGGGCCTGTCCCCGCTCCGGGCCTGGAGCGTTTCAGCTGCGTCCCGGGCGCTGCTCGTTGGTTCTTTTCGTGTCACCGTAGTCGAGTGATCTGGCCGTCGATGGCGGCCTCTGCCGTGGCCTGGAGCCGCCGCCGCCTCGCGCACCGGTGACGGACGCGGCCTCCTTAGGGACAGGGCTTCTGAGCAGTTGTAGGACACGCCGCCGCGTTTACCACGATCTAAGGGTCGGACGCGGTGCTCACGCCTGTAATCCCAGCACCCGGGGAGGCAGAGGCGGGCGGATCACCTGAGGTCAGTTTCCAGACCAGCCTGGGCAACACGGTGAAACCGTCTCTACTAAAAATACAAAACGTTGCCTGCGATCCCAGCTACTCCGAAGGCTGAGGCCGCCGTGAGCCGAGATCGCGCCACTCCACTCCAGCCTGGGGGACTGGGCCAGACCGTCTCAAAAAAATGAAACACAGATGAAATAGAGGAGGCTGAGACGGGGCTCGGTTCAGTGGGCGGACGGCACAGCTTCCTATGCGCGAGGTTGGGGACCTCGGGCCAGGCGGGCACAGAGAAGACGGGTGCCAGCAGCCTCCTGAGCCCAGGAAACAGCGCTGGTGGGCCGGCCCCGCCCCTCCCAGGGTGGGTGAGGGTTTTATTTTCTGAGAAGAGTCTTGCTCTGTCGCCCATGCTGCAGTGCACTGGTGTAGTCTCGGCTCACTGCAGCCTCCAACTCCCAGGCTCCCAAGTATCTGGGACTACAGGCATGCAGCACCATGCCACGCTACATAGTACAGAGGGGGTTTCACCATGTTGGCCAGGCTGGTTTCCAACTCCTGACCTTAACTGATCCACCTGCCCCGGCCTCCAAAAGTACTGGGGTTACAGGCGTGAGCCACTGTGCCTGCCCTGGGTTAGGGTTTTGATGGGGGCTTTCATTTCCAAGTGTTCCTGTATGGATGACAACCCAGTCTTCCCATGATAGGGAGTGTAAGCCCCTGTGGAACCAGGAGAACCACAGTTGTCCTGAGTGCTACACATTAGCTTTCTTACTGCTGGCTATGTGACCAGGGGAAATTCCTGACCCTCTTTGTGCCTGTTTTATTTTTTATTATTTTTTTGAGATGGAGTCTCACTCTGTCACCCAGGCTGGAGTACAGTGGCACAATCTTGGCTTGCTACAACCTCTGCCTCCTGGGTTCAAGCAATTCTCCTCCCTCAGTCCCCGAGTAGCTGGGATTACAGGCATGTGCCACCACACCTGGCTCATTTTTAGTAGAGACAGGGTTTCACCATGTTGATCAGGCTGGTCTCGAGCTCATGTCGTCGTGATCCGTCCACCTCAGCCTCCCAAAGTGCTAAGACTACAGGCGTGAGCCACCGTGCATGACTGTTTTCTTAGTTTTAAACAGGAATAAAAATACAGGGCCAGCAGGAGGCAGAGGTTGCTGTGAGCAGAGATCACGCCATTGCATTCCAGACTGGGCAACAAGACCCAAACTCTGGAAAAAAAAAAAAAAAATTCTGTCTCAAAAAGAAATACACACACACACACACAGCCGAAGCTGGCTGATTTTATTGGGGGCTCTAACTGTGTGTGTGGATTTCCTGGGCCCCAGCTGATAGGAGTGTTTCTCCCACAGGCCAATCTGTTACAAGTCAGATCCCTTCCTAACCTCCAAGCCCCATGGCTGGCATTACAGCTTGGGGCCAAAGTTCCTGGGTGAGCTGTTTTTTTGGCCAAATTATTTTACCTGGTTGAGCCTCAGTTTCCTCATGTGTAAGGTGAAATGAAAGCAGAGCCTCACAGAGGAACAGGGCAGGGCGCTGTACCAGGCTGAGCCAGGCACTGGTGGGCAGACAGCACTGGGCACAGGGCCTGTCCAGAGCCTGTCATACCTCCAGCCCCTGTGATTCCTCTCCCTGGAGAACAAGAATAGGGATCTGGGAAGTGAGACTAAACTGTCCCCCAGGCCAGCAGATGTGGCCAAGGGAGGTGATGGGATGTGGTCTGTGCTGTCTGCCTGCACCCCTAACCAAGGTGGCCAGGACCACGGAAGCTGGTAGAGCCAGCCAGGGCTGCAGGGACAGAGCAGGCCTGGGACCCTTGCCGGGTGGGCATGCAACTGTGCTAAGCCAGGGAGGCCTTTCCTGGTCCTGGAGGGCAGGTGGCCCCTCAAGCTGAGCTTCAATCTTGGGAGAATATGCCCACTGCCATGCTGGGCGCACCCTCAGTGCACATCCAGACAGAACGTGAGACTTCCTTTATTAGGCCAAGCCTGGCCATGTGCACAGATTGACAGAGCTCCTCCTCCCTGGACTGGGACTTCCCAGCACCTTCAGTAGCCTCTGAGCCGGAGGCGAGTGAGGACAGCACCAGAATGTGGTAGGGCAAAGGGGCAGGACAGCTGGGGTGTGGACCCCAGGCAAGGGCAGAGAGAAGCTTGGCATGGACCTTTTTTTTTTTTGAGACAGAGTCTTACTCTATCACCCAGGCTGGAGTGTAGTGGTGTGATCATGGCTCACTGCAACCTCTGCCTTCGAGGTTCAAGTGATTCTTCTGTCTCAGCCTCCTGAGTAGCTAGGATTATAGGTGTGCACCACCACGCCCGGCTAATTTTTGTATTTTTAGCAGAGGCAAGGTTGACTCATGTTGGCCAGGCTGCTCTTGAACTTCTGACCTCAGGCGATCTTCCCTCCTCGGCCTCCCAAAGTGCTGGGATTACAGGTGTGAGCCACCATGCCTGGCCAGACCTTTCAAACAGAGGCGGGGGTGCCTCCCAGGAGAACCTCGCTCACTCAGACACTTCCCAGGTGCTGCCCAAGTCTCCACGAAGGGATAGCAGAGGCGAGCAGGGCACTCTGGTCCAGCTGGGAGCCAAGACACCCAATCCCCACCTAGACATCCACCGGGGAGGGGAAGCTGCTATCCTCATTGCTGGGGACAGAGAAGAGAATGGGAACATGGGATGCAGTCTGTGCCAGGATCTAGAACCCTCTGCTCTCTCTCCTCAGTGAGAAAACCCACTCCCTGTTCCCCCACCTTCCTCCCTGGCAAGGAATCCTGAGAAGAAACAGCCTCCCCGAGGGAGAGTTCTGAAGTGCGCCTGAACCCAAATGAGCTCTGGGGCGAGGCAACGACGTCTATAAATATATAGGCCGGGTGTATATATTATAAATCTATCTATATATGTATATATGTACATGCACAGCTCAGCGCGTCCTGGCCTGGAACAGGGCCTGCCTGGTGCTTCCTGTCACTTGAAGTCAAGAGTCCTGGTGTTAGGGATGTAGAGGGACTGGGTCTGGCGACTTCGTCGTGGCGTAGTGTTGAGGACGTCCACGCTCTTACGGCTGGAGCGCACCACGTCGGCCACAAAGCTGCTGCACTCACTGCAGACGTCCTTGAGGACACAGCCGTGGGAGTAGATGTGGGGGAATGCCTCCTCCACGCTCTGCCACTGTGGTCCTTGCAGAGATCTAGGGAGCAGGAGAGGGCAGTCAGGGAAAGCAGCCGGCCAGGGTGCAAGAGCCCACCCCTGTCCCTGACCCTGTATCCCAGAGCCCCCTCCTGGCTGCCTTTTGCCCTAGGCCTCCCCTTGGCCCTCAGACACCCATGGGGTTTTGTGTAAGTGACACAGCTAGCAGTGTTCATCTCAGCAAACACTGCTCCCTGACCACTCAAGTCCATTTCCTACCACTCAGCCTCCCAGAGACCTGCCTTGGCCCCCTCCACCCCAGCTCCCGGGTTACTGTTCATGCCCCACCACCACAGCGACATCAGCAGCAAGGCAAAGAACGCACTGGAAGACGTCTCTTCTCTGGACTGGCGTGGTTTTGGCAGCCGATGCCCTCTGAGGACTCTCAAAGCCCAGCGTGTAGACAGGGATGTGTGCAAACTTCTTAGAAGGCATCTTCATCTGCAGCAGAGGGAGGAGGTATGGACCAGGCACTCCACAGGGACATTCAAGTCACACTCAGTGCCGGAGAACCCTGTGGTACCTGCGTGGCAGCCAGCAGCACCACCTAGAGAATTTCCGATGTCTCTGTGCCATTTGTCTGAAGACCCACACATGACCATTCACGCTCTCTGCTCATCTGGACAGGGCCTTCTTGGAGGGCAAAAACTGGACCTTTTTATACCATATGGGACCTACCACCGTGCCCTACACATAATCAACATTTAACGCAGATGCGGTGGAAGTTTTCCCATTGCCAAGTACCAGGATATAGAGTAAGGGTTTTAAAACAGTGGTGGGAAAGGTGCCCCTGAAGCAGAGTCTTGCTTCTGAACTGAGGCATAAAGAGAAACTTTTTTTTTTTTTTTTTTGAAGACACAAGATCTTGCTCTGCTGCCCAGATGGAGTGCAGCAGCACCATAGCTCACTGTAGCCTTGAACTTCTGGGCTCAAGAGATCCTCTTCCCTCAGCCTCCCAAGTGCTGGAACTGCAGGCATGAGCCACCTTGCCTGGCTGCTGACATAGTTGTATCTATGTATGTATGTATTTATGAGACAGAGTTTCGATATGTCACCCACGCTGGAGTGCAGTGGCATCATCATAGCTCACCACGGCCTCTGTCTCCCGGGTTCGAGTGATTCTCGTACCTCAGCCTCCTGAGTAGCTGGGATTACAGGTGTGTTCCACCATGCCCAGCTAATTTTTTTGTATTTTTAATAGAGATGGGGGTTCACCATGTTGGCCAGGCTGGTCTCAAGCGGTCTGCCAGCCATGGCCTCCC